GGGTGGACGGGTGTGAGCTCTGCAGCAGGAACAAAGCTGAGCTGGAACGGGGCATGAAAGAGTTGCAATCGTTACCCATACACGGGATAGGGTTCAGGTGGTCCTTGGACCTGGCGGGAGAGATGCCGTTGAGCAGGAGAGGGAAGCGATACATCCTGATCATGATTGAGCACGGCAGCAAGTGGGTCGAAGTGAGGGCCCTCCCTAGCAAAAACTCGGCCAGAATAGCTGAAGCATTCGAGGAGCAGTGCTCACCAGGTTCGGGGCGTGTGGTGAAGTACTGACCGATCAGGGGACAGAGTTCATGGGGGAGTTCGATAAGCTGTTGCAAGCCACAGGTATCACTCATCGGAGGACGTCCCGATACAACCCACAGAGTGACGGACTCACGGAACTGTTCGTGCAGACGGTGAAGCGAGGGCTGCGGGCTTACAGGGAACAGTTTAAGCGAGATTGGGACGCGCGATTACCGTGGGTGGTAGCAGGATATCGGTTCAGTAAGCAAGCGGCGTTAAAGGACATATCACCCTACTACCTCCTCCTGGGGCGAGAGCCGGTGTTACCCGTGGACGCGCCGAGGATAGTGACAGGGTCGGTGCGAGTGGAGAAGGAAGAAGATTGGGTGGGGCTGGCAGAGGCGAGAGCGAGGTACCTAAGAGAATTATTGCCGGCGGCTCTGGAGAACCTGCACGTAGCACAGCTGCGAGATGCGCAAAGGTACAAGAGGCGGGGGGAGCTTCAATCTGGGAAGAAGGACAGGGCACTAGGGGCAGGGGAGGAAGTATACCTGAAGCAGGCCAAGCATGACCTAATGGACATCGGGCTGAGCACGGAACGCTGGAGAGTTAAGGAAGTAAAAGACTCAGGCGTGGTGGTGCTCGTGGGCGAGCAAGGGCAGAGGAGGACGGACCATTGCACTAACGTGGCTCGGGCCAAGGGTAGACCCGTGGAGCGAAGGGACACGCAGCCACACGAGGAAGGAATCCAGCGGCAGCCTGCAGGGGCTCAAGGACAGCCGCAGAGGGGGCAAGTGGGGAGAGTGGCTGGACTCAAAGGAAGGATGAGTAGAGAACTGAGGAGCCTTCAGAAGCCAGGCTGAGAGCAGCGGGAGAGGAAGAGGAGACAGGAGATGCAGGAGAGGCGAGAACAGAAGGAGAAGAAGAGGAGACAAGAGGGGCAGGCGAGGAGAGAGCAGAAGATTCCGTCAGCTGTCACGATTCTAATCTTTGCGTAGGTGCCTTAGATATAAATTCGTGACTTATAGGATAATCAAGAGGATACAGTAGGTAGGATAAGATTGGACCGGCTGAATACCGAAGCGAACAAACGGAAACAAGAAGTTGGCGGGCGAAAGGGGACCGTTAGAACAACGGTAACCCGCCGCTGGTACTTAAGGAATTAGGCAAGGTTAGAGAGATGCTTGCGTGATTGTTTTCACACGTATGCTTACAACTTCCAACGTATTCAGACGTGGCTAAGCACGAGAAACCAACCCGCGCATGCATTCGAGAACCCGTTCGGTTATCATCTCTGCCAGTCGAGCTAGGGTTTGAGAACCAACTTCGGCCAGTGGCAGGAGACTTTTCAAAGTGGGGAGAGTGGCTGGACTCAAAGGAAGGATGAGTAGAGAGCTGAGGAGCCTTCAGAAGCCAGGCTGAGAGCAGCGGGAGAGGAAGAGGAGACAGGAGATGCAGGAGAGGCGAGAACAGAAGGAGAAGAAGAGGGGACAAGAGGGGCAGGCGAGGAGAGAGCAGAAGATTCCGACATCTTTGCAGAACCATTTCAACTGACGGCAAAGTCTGTCTTTCCAATGATCCCAGTCTTCCGAGGTAAAGTCAACAGGTAGGTCGAGAACGATCCTGTCCATTGTAGAGCGAACAAAAGGTTTAAAGATGAGGTGTTGGGGGACGCGCCAGGGACGGGGGGGCACGTTTGGATTCCTGAAACGCAAAAACACGAGGGGACCTTTGTTGTGATCGGACAAGGGAGGTGGAACGGAAGGGTAAGCTACCTGTAAAATACGGTTGGACCAGTTGGAGGAAATATACGTTCTGTCAAGGCGGGAGGAGGAGGGGACAGAACTAGGAGAGTTAATTCGTTGTGGAGCTCCGAAAGAAAACATAGGTTCATCAGGGAGCTTGTGACGATAGCAGTCCACCAAGACGTGTTTATCCAAAAGATCGCCTATCCAAAAGATCGCCTAATAACTTTGCTTCTGTGCGCTCAATTGGTTTCTGGTCGCGGCTGCGGTCAATGGGGAGAACAACAGCATTGAAGTCACCTGAGAGAAGCGTTGCAGAACTGGCTAAAGGTTGGGAAAGATAGTGGGCCACTGTGGAAGACCACCATGCCCTCCTGTCCAAGTAGTTATTAGGGGCATTGGTAGCAAGAACCCGAAATTGGTCCTGCAGGTAGTTAATATGAAGAAAGAGGCATCTGCCGTCACCCGAGGCTTCTCTGCAGGAGATAGAAATCCCTGCTTTGAAAATGAGGACAGCAATACCACCAGGTCTGGTATGGGAGGAGGAGGAGAGGCAGGGGGGGACCTGTGCATAGGCCTTAGGTTTGAGCTTGAACATAAGGTGGGAGATTTTGGTAGAGAGACGAGTGTCAGTTAAAATGAGGATATCAACCGGATTCTGAGACAACCAAGACCTCAAAACATCCAGTTTTACATGGGAGTTAAGACCGTTAGTGTTAATACATTGAATTGAGAGGTATGTATCCATTAATCAACCTTAAGTGCAGCCCCATGTGCTCTAAAAAGCACACGTCCACTGGGGCGGAAAGCAAGGTGCTGCCTTGGTTGAAATTGAGGTTGCACACTGCTGAAAATATGGCTGGCAAAGGCCACAGTTTGTAATGAAAGCATTCCCACCAACTGCTGATACAACAGGTCAGATGACATGGTACACAGCCATTTCAAAGAACATGTGGTACAAGGACACAGCCATTCTATCCCAAACTCCTCTAGGGGAGTGAGAATGTCAGAACTCTGCTGAGTAGCCACCACATGAGCAGGGCTGACGATGTGATCCATTGCACTGTCCAGTGCCCTGCCACAGCAGAAAGAGCACAAGGCACAGGTCCAAACTTCCACTTCGAGGTCGGTCCCAATAAAGAACGTGCCCGGGTCGGCCCTGAAGGCAACCACTGCAGGGTGCTGCCCAATGATCCTGGCTGAAGTACGCAAGGGGGAAGGCACGAGCATGAAGGGGACAGAGGCAGAAGAGAATACACCCAAAAGGCCGGATCCAAGCAGGAAGCAAGGCCAGAAGGTAAACCAAGAATGGGATTGGAAGGCGGATGAAAGCCAGAATGGAAACTATAAGAAGATCCACTGATAGCACAAGAAGCCACAAGGAAAAAGTAACAAGCTTAACAAAAACAGCAAGGAAGAAAGTACCATTAACATTTTGGAGTTGTCCCCGAGTGATGGCGGACGGATTGGTGATGCGGTTCCTTTGCACCGCCGCGAAGTTGCTATGATCACGCGTACGGTGGTTGCTGGTACACACCCCACAAGAGTGTGAGGAGATGTTCACCAAAATCGGCTCCTGTACCTTCGGCACCCAAATAACGACAGGGATGGTCTCGAAGTGGGGATCATTTGGGGGAGCAACAGCGATTCCGAGCATCTGAGGTAGGAAAGATTATTCATACGGGTCAAAAAGCTTGTGGAAGTGGAGCAGGTCACCGAGCCACCTAGCTTCGTTCGACGAGCTGGACACCAGAAGCGAGCGAAGCGTTCGGACCGCGAGTCCCAACGGCACGTTGCGAAGCACCAGCAACGTTTCACCGCGCGATTTTGCAGAAGAGAAGTCGAGAGCCGGGTCCTGGAAGAACTTAATCTCGGCCGACGGTCCTTCGGACGAACGGTAGGTGATCGGCAGCAATCGCTTGAACCGGTTCGCGTCGTCCACCGTCGGCCATTGAATCACGTGGCGGCAGTACAAACGGCGAGGGAGGCGAAGGATCTCGGCCACCTGCGAAGTCACGTCCGCGAAGAATGCTGCGGACACGGGTGATGATACGACTGCGGTGAGCTTCCAAAGACTCAGGGAAGAGAAGACAATAACAGTGTGAACAAACGAAGATTGCACTATCGGAACAAGAGTACAATGAGCGAACAATATATAGCGAAGCCTAGCGTGGTAACAGTGATGCGCGAGAATGTGGTGCGCGACGGGCCTGGCGCGGGGGTTGGGAATTGTCGAGGTGGAGGACCGGAGCGCAAGTTACCAACCAAACCGTGATGTTGGGTCGCGATGTGAGCAGTGGCGGGAACAGTTGTCGAGGCGAGTGTCGCGAGTGGTAACGTTTTACTGTAGGGTGCTGTTGGCGGGAACAGTCGAAGTAAGGAAATTAAATATTACTTACACTTACCCCCTCCCCAAGGAGGCTCCCCCTTACGAGAGTTCTTGTACATCCCGAAACTTGCGGCTGCGCAAATACTGGGCGAGAATGGGGTTGTTCCTAATTTTATTCAGTGGCACCCAATGTCTTCTGCGCGGATGCGGCCTTTCGAGCGAATCAGTAACTCGATCCTGCGGGCTCCACATGGATCACGAACTCGGTGGCTCAATGTTTTTTTCGGGGGTGATGACGAGTTTTGTAGGTGGTCGCATCATGCTGGACGGGCGGCTGCGTGTCAGTCAGGCCCTCAGATTCGTTTTAGGATACTCTGACGCCTTAGGGCAAATCTTTTAAATATAATTTTCAGCCCTGATTTTTCAGGGCAATTTTTTAAGGAGACCCTGATTCTTCAAGGCAATGCCTGGCTTAGTTCATGATGCCTCAGGGCTAGTTGTTGTCCCCTTCCTGATTCCTACCGGGTAGATTTTTATAATGTTGTCGTGTTAACACCTTGTATAGAGCTTCATTCATATCATAATGATTTCAATATCACTCATAGCAGTCATAGAAGTCCAGTCCAGTCCAATCCCACCAAGTGAAGTTTTTATTCGATCTCTACAACCTAAATACTACTAAACAACGGCCTACTGATCATCATCATCATCAGTGCTGAATCCACTCCCGTCGCTGCTTTTATCCCCATCAACGTCGTCGTCGTCGTCGTCGTCGTCCTCCTCCTCCTCCTCCTCCTCCTCCTCCTCCTCCTCCTCCTCCTCCTCCTCCTCCTCCTCCTCCTCCTCCTTCGCCTTGACCTTGCCGCTCACAGTTCTCCGTTGCTCCTTCCTGGATGGCCGCCTCTTCTTGCTACTGCGCCACATGTCCACGACATCGTTCTTGTCGATGTCGTACTCCAGCAAGCTGAGGTTCGTGAGCTCTCCCAGCCTTGCGTTGCAGAGGCTCGTCGTTTGCCACGACTTGATGAGGTTCTGTCTGCAGAATCCCCGCTCACATTCCACCGTGCTCAAGGGGAGGACGGCCACCGCAGCCCACAGTCGTACCAAGTTGGGGTAGCTTCTCTCCCAGTCAGCTGTCTTGAGCATCGCCGCCAGCCCCTCCTTGAAACCGCATTCGCCGCGTGGACTGCCTTGCAGGATAGGCACGAGGGACTTCAGTTATTTCTTGGCGGCTCGCTTCTCCACTCCTGCCAAAAATTGATCTCGGAGAATTAGCAATTAGTTTAGCTATGAGTTCTCAGCTTTTCTCGGCATGGACACAAAAGCACCTTTGTATCAATCAGATGTGGCAGGACAACGCACTTGGAAGGATTTCACTCCCTTTGTCCGCGTGGAAGAGGTCGACAAGCGTATTGAAGCAGTCGTTGCAGTGCTCGTTCCGACCCTGTCTGTCGAGGGGGTATGTATTAGGCATGAACAGCTTGCAGCCGTTGAGGTTAACAAGATTCTTCATGCTGTGTTGCAAGGAGCCGTTGGTGGCCTTGGTATGAGCGCGGCAGACGGCGAGGCAGGAGTCGAGATCACCACCGCTCTTGCTATGGCGACCCAAGGTCTCTTCATGCAGCATGAAGTGGTGTTTCTTGGGTCTGCCTTCGTTGTCAACACCATCCACGGTGACGCTACGGTCGGATTTGAGCTTGGAGAGGAAGCCGGGAAGCTGCAGTTGACTCTTGTTGCCGCCGTAGTCGCCGCTGCTGCTGCTCTCGATGTACCGTGCGCGGATGAAGACCATCGTTCTTCGGACAACACAGGTCACGGACGTCATGTCCACCTGGACGTCATGCAAACAAACAAACTCACGGGGTAAGTATAACATTCACATGAATCGCAGTTCAGAGCCAGCAAACCAAGGACTCACCTCGCGCCTTTGGAACTCCAAGTTGAGATTGTTGAGCAGAGCGAGCATGTCTGCCAGATAGTAGAGGAAGACATGGAATTGTCAGAATGTTGTATTTGTCTAGCCTGCAGTGGGGTACTCTATAGCGAGTACAGCCCAATCTAGGGTTTCCTATATGTACTCAACTGCTTGCTAGTGAACCTCCTCCTTTCTTCATTCTTACTTTCTACTGCTAGTTCTGATATGCTATCAGAGCAGGTCGATCCCCTTGGGTCGATCCTGTGGGTGGGCCCACCACCTCACTGCTTCCGCTGCTACTGCTACTCTGTGTGTTGCACGCCCCGTGGCGTGCGACGGATTGTTCATCCCGCCGCGCGCTCGGAGCGTGCGGCGGTTTTCTGCCCGCCGTGCGCCCCGAGGCGCGCGGCGGTTTTCTGCCCGCCGTGCGCCCCGAGGCGCGCGGCGGTTTTCTGCCCGCCGTGCGCCCCGAGGCGCGCGGCGGCTTTCTGCCCCGTCACTCCGCGCGTCGCTCCCGGGAGGCGCTGCGACGGGCGACGGGGACCCGCGCGTCGCCCCCCGTCGCCCGTCGCGGCCTGCGCGACCTGCGTAGGGCCCGCGCGCGGCCCGTACAGCCTGCGCGCGGCCCGTACGGGCTGCGCCAGGCCCGCGCGCGGCCCGTACGGGCTGCGCCAGGCCCGCGCGCGGCCCGTACGGGCAGCGCCAGGCCCGCGCGCGGCCCGTACGGACTGCGCCAGGCCAGGGCGCGCCTCGGGCCGCCCGCACGCGGTTCGTACGGGCTGCGCCAGGCCCGTGGGCGCCCTGTTTTCTCTGCCCCTGCGCTGCCCGCTGTCCCCCGTGCTTCTGACGGCACCCCACCCCTGCTGCTGCCCGTTCTCCTGAATTAGGGTTTGGGTGTGGGGGGTATGGGGGTGCGGTTTCTGTGCGTCGTCCCCTACTCCTCCTCCTCCTCCGTCTCCCAGTGCTGCAGCTGCCGCTGAGGGGGGTGGGTGTGTGGGAGCCGAAGGAGTGGTACTAGGGGGGTGACGTGCAAGTGGAGTTAGGAGTGAAGCAGTGGGTGTGTGGGGGGTGTGTGGGACAGTTGGAGGAGGTTGAGCGGAGGCTGCTGTCTTGTCGTCCGCAGCACCTGTAGTCCGGGGCGCACTGTCCTGGTAGCCCAGAGAGTCTGCTGCGCCTGTCGCCCGAGGGTCCGTTGCTCCTGTAGCTCGTCGTAGCCCGTGAGCCAGTTACTCCAGTAGTCCGGGGCGCACTGTCCCGGTAGCCACTGTGCCAGCAGCTCCTGTTGCCCGTGTGTCTGCAGCTTCAGCCGCCGTCTCTCATCTTCTCTCCTCTCACAGTCCCTCCTCCTCCTCACTTGCCCGCTGTGATTACCTCTAGCTTTGCTTCTTATTGTGAACTCCTGCTATACCTGCTCATTGTGCTGATTACACCCCACTTTGGCTATGGGGGTGTGTCAGAATGTTGTATTTGTCTAGCCTGCAGTGGGATACTCTATAGCGAGTACAGCCCAATCTAGGGTTTCCTATATGTACTCAACTGCTTGCTAGTGAACCTCCTCCTTTCTTCATTCTTACTTTCTACTGCTAGTTCTGACAGGAATTTCAGAGATGTAACAAGGTGGTACATCTTGTCGTCGTACTCGTGCAAGAACACGATCACTACAGGGAAGACGCGCACCAGCCGCGCGATGGCGTCACCCCGACTTAGCCACCGCACTGCGTGTATTCCATGGAGCTCCAAGTTGGTTTGACAGAACACTTGTTGGAGCTCAAAGAATGTGTTGTGTGTTGGTTGTGACCTCCCCAGTGCCTCCGCAAGCGTTCTCAGCAAGAAGTCCACCACGCCAAGCTCTGGCGCCGCAAGGGCACTGTCCTTGGCCGCCAAAGCCTCCCTGCAATAAAAAAAGACAAAGAAAACCCAACATAAAAAAGGGTTGGTAAGTTACGGACTCACGCAGAACACTAGCCGAACGTCGCAGACCACAAACTTACCGGTGGGCGATGCACTGACTTGAACAGATGAGGGATGCACACCCTTATACGAGCTACAAGGCCGTTAGTTCCTCCCAGCATCACTTGCGCATCGTCCGTGCTCTTGCAAAAAATCCTGTTCAAGTCAATGTCCTGGGTGTCAAGGTGGTTCAGAAGAACAGAAAACAAAGAGGCAGCATCGCATTTATCCACAGTGAGCAAACCCAAGAGCTCAGTGATGACATGGTAATTACGCAAGAACGTGACAAACACAATCAAGTGTTTGCCACGGACGTGATTTGTGCTCTCGTCGCAAGTGAGTCCGATAAACGGGCTAGTCTTCAGCCACTGACTCTGGCGCTGACGGAGGTATGTCGTCGTGGTACATATGAGTTCCTGGGCCCCATATCTGCATCACCATCAACAACATGTGCATCAGTCCCAGCATGGAAACCGTTGTACGTTCACTTCTTATGACCTGTGCACTTACGTTGTATTGCAGAAACCGTACCCCTTTGCACGGAATCGTTGGTGCAACCTACGGTTTGCACTCGGCTTGTTGTCCGTGTGCGTGCATGCGTGTGTGCATGGAATGGTATGAGAGCATGGGATAATATATATTTCATGCTTATAATAGTGTGTGAATGCTGACTCATGATGTCGAGTGTGTGTGTGTCGAGTCAATAGCGAGTTATCACTAGTCGCGGTCTTTTGTGTCCCGCGCGCGGTTTCTATTTCGTCGTTTGTGTGTGTCGCGCGGTTTCTATTTTGTCGTGTGTCAAATGTTCGGCATGTCGCAGGTGTGTGCAGCAGACCCATCAAGAACTCAAGGATGAGTTTGTGATGAAGAACCCGAGCCTTGGTGTCAAGCCTCAAGTGATTTCGAAGCTCGCCAAAAAAGGGTACACTTCAAGATGTTGAAGATAGTTACATTACAATGTGTAGTGTAACATTTCTGTTGGTGTAGACCCTTGTGGAGGGTAGTTTCGAGACCCTTCTTGGTTGGGGACAGTGTGGCACTGTTCCACATCACTGTACCTCGGCTCTTGGGGTTTGTAGGAGCTGGGAGTCATTCCCAACTCGTACCTCCTCCTATCTTGTGTTCTAAGACTATAGTGGCTGCCATAGTGCCGTTCGTTCAAACTGACGGTGACTCGTCAATTCTTGGTGAAATCTTGCGATCTAAATTGCCTATTGTAGGCGATGATAAGACGCTCTAGATCCAAGTTGAATCAGGTCATTTGAAGCTGTGACCAGAACGCTATGAACGTTTAAAGCCGCTGTACAGAAATCCGACTGTGCACTCTATCTTTCGTTTTAGGCACATTGGAGCCTACCGTGACAATAACACGTGGTATCAGAGCGCATTGGAGCAGCTACGACGATGGCTGGACCTGAAGAAAGGGGTGATAGAGGTGCTGGAGGCAGTGGAGGACCCCAAGCACAAGGTCAACCCCGTGATTCAGCCATGGGGCCCGTGCAACCTACTCTTGGACCTTCTATGGATGAACCAAGAGTGTTCGGGCTTGACAAGTTCAACGGTGACAACTTTGCTGAGTGGTCCTTCAGAATGGAGAATGTGTTTGACCACTATGACCTGCTGGAGGTGATGGAAGGAACGGAGAAGCGCCCCGAGAACGACCCAGAGAAGAGCCCGTGGGTGCGGAAGAGCGCACAAGGCTACCTCCTACTCGGGCAAGCGTTGGGGAGCAGCCAAATCCGTCACATCAAGCCATTCCAGCATGAACCAGAGAAGGGACCAAAGGCATGGGCTGCTCTCAAGGGTGTACCCTCTCCTGCAACAGCGGCGGTAGCGGTGGTGTTGGAACGGCAAATGGCGACACTACGAATTGACGAGGATGAAGCGGTTGAAGAAGGGGTGCAGAAATTCTTCGACTTGCTGACGCGGCTTGAGGGAGCTGATTTGAACTACAGTGAGCTCCAGAAGAAGACCAAGTTGCTGGCCTTACTCCCAGAGTCATGGTCCTCGCTCATCATCAACCTCAACCGAGATCTGCCCCGCCTCTCGCTCGAAGATGTGAAGCGAGAAATCCTTCAAGAGGATTTCCGCCGCCGTGAGTTGGCGAGTGCGGATGGCGCCGGGGCAGCAAGCATCGGCCGGGGGTACGGCCGTGGAAGAGGAAGAGGACGAGGGGGAGGCAGATTTGGCAGCAACAACTTCAATAGAGGCCGCGGGAGTGGCGGTTACGGCAACGGCGACAAGAGCTACGGACGCGGTCGCGGCCGATTCGACGGCGAGTGCCACTTTTGCCACATGTGGCGCGACTGCTACAAACTCCCTGATGGTTGGACCCCTGCTCAAGGCCAGGAGGGTAGAGGAGCAGGAGGAGGGAGAGGAAGAGGCCGTGGAGGCCGTGGCGGTCGCGGAAGTGGAGCTGCAAACATGAAGAGCGAAGATAACAACAAGGACCCGAGCGGCGATCGGTACCCGGGTCAATTCTACTTTGTGTCAACGCAAGCACCGGCTGCACCAAAGAAGGATGAAGACTTTGAAGAGCCTGCACCAGTCGGAAAGGTGACCCTACACCCCCTGGACTTTTGGGTGATCGATAGCGGCGCTACCTATACCATGACACCTCGCGTGGACTTGCTCACCGAACTTGAACCGTCACCGGTGAAGCATGTCACATCGGCCTTGTGGCAGCGAGCAGAGGTGAAAGTCATGGGCAAGGCCATGTTTAAGGGTGCTGATGGGAAGATGGTGGGCCTCAACGTGCTTTGGGTGCCCAGCCTTGCAGCCAACCTGATTTCCGTGCGGCGATTGGCAAAGGCCGGCATGGACACAACCTCGAAGGGAGCCAAGACCTACACCGCGAGGCTTGGTGAGCGGATTCTTTGGGACCTTCATGAGGATAGGGATGTCTACAACGAGATGTGGCAGATCCCAGTGGTCCCCATGCCTAAGGAGAGACAAGTGGCAGCAAGCATCAGCGCCAAGGGCGAAACGATTGGTAGCGGAGATGGCGCGACCGGTCGCGCTAAGGAGAACGAGTCCAACAAGTGCAATCTTGGAGGGACCAGCAAGTTGTGTGAACTTAAGGAGAGTGGTGCAGCAGCCAA